TAATTGCATTGTAATTATCGATTTTTAGTTGAAACTTAAATTAGAATACATTATGTAAACGATCCGTTTCACTATGAGCCGACTTTAATAGTCTGTCATTAAACACTTTGGTCACAATGAAGGAAACGGTTTATTTCGTGTAATTCCATTTAATTTTGCTGAGGACATGGATAAAAAAAAAGAAATATGAAATTGTTTATAAATTTATCATTTTATGTAACATGTAAAACTTCATTCGTTTGGAAATGTAGATGGATAAGTCTCTCTTTCCAATACGTTATTGGACAACGTTACACTTTCGTTTTCGACTATGTCAGTTTGCTGATGAGTTATAGCGAAGCCGTGAATGTGAGACATGTTTGCATATCGTTTTCGACCGTTCCGAAATCGATTGTATGTATATTTTCGGAACCAATTAGCATCTGCACTCGTTTCGAAATTCAACCGCAAAAAAAAAATAAAGTAGAAGAAAAGAAAAAGAGAGAAGTTCAATCTGGAATAGTTCTAATCAAATGATAAATATTAGCCGCGAAAGTTGAACACACTGTATAAATGTGGCATTTCTCTCTCGAATACATAGTCTACTTTCAACATTGTGATGTATCCAAGATTAGAACGAAATGTGTTTTTGATTACGTCTATCAAATTATGATACGTATACAAAACATAGCATTATCTAAATGTAAATAGCGCCTCATTATCACCTCAATTAATTTCTGTGCGTTACATAAATGCAAATAAACCAGATGTTTGTATTATTTGATACGAATTTTTCATTCTGTATGTGTGTTATTTCTCTCTAGGATTTTTTTGATGCTCGAACCTTTTGAATTCCATGTATTTATCGATCGATATCGATCAATTATTTCGTCTTTATCAAACTTATTGATTTTTGATTGATCCATAACTATGTGAAGTATCCACACACTCACATCTACATAGTGACGCCATATTTATCATAAAAAACATTTGATTTATTTGTTCGTTCCTCCACAATGTTTATGTCAGTTCGATCCAAGTGAGAGCCTACTACCACAGTACGAGACATTCGCAAACGAATCTTGTTTAAATCCTCTCACCTTGACCAGAAATTTAAAGATCTCGCATTTCAATCGAACGCATAAATTATACACGTTAATTTGCTCTCAAAAAGAAAAGGAAAAAAAAAACCTGAGACACACACACACATAAACCGGATTGGGCAAGCAAAGTTTCACCAAAATAATTGCAAAATTTCCAAACACTGTTGTATACATGTTGATGAAGCTATGAAGCTGTTTCAATACCATTAAAATGACGATGATTAGCTAATTGCATGATGTGTGTCAATACATGGGGCCAAAGTGAGAGCAAACCTCCCGAAATTTAGAGTTCAAACTGAACTTCTTAAGATACTCTCTTAGTAATAATAAACGAAACCAGATGATTGGCCTATAGATTGTTAAGAACTCGTTTGTAGTTATATCATTTTTTAGACTTGCTTATTGAAGCTGCGTTACGTAAATCCAGAAGAAGAAAAAACAATACTTCACGTAATCCCATTGAAATTATTCTAGAACTTAATTATTATTTTTTTCTTATCAGAACTGCATAAAAAGTTGATTCATTTAAACGTTTTAACAATATATATTTTTAGTAATTTGATTCTCTTTTAATCTAAACGTTTAAATGTTACTTAGTCGATTTTTTAATATTTATATTTAAATAATGAAATAAAATTAGATTTTACTACATAAAAACTTTAAAGTTAAAAAAAAAATTGGTTTTAGTATACTCATAAGAACGTTATCAAAATGTTAAAAATCTAGGACAATAAGAACAGTTCATATAACTTGTTAAGATATAATAAAAATAAATAGAAGAGAATGTTCGTAAATTTAAGAGATCGTGGATCACAGGTTTAATGACCGGTTTCAAGTTTTTTTTATATATGAGGTTTATTGCTTTATTCTTTCATAGATTGTAAGCAATACTAGGAAATTGCATGGTGTTCTGAGATTGCGTAACGTCAACAGACAAAACGAAATTTTCAAATGTTTGAACCTCCGAAAGTTGCGCAACGTATCTCATGCATGCGTGGCGAGTATATCTATAATCACAACTTGTTACATATAAAGTTGGGTTGCGTAACCGGCGATCGAATAATTGTTTCCCATATATTAATCGAGCATAATGACAATGTTGACAAAATGATGGAGCACAAATCAAAGAGATCAACTGAAGCGCGACCACATTCATATTAACATATATATATTTTTGTTGTTTGCTTGTTTCCTATCATCCTTTAATTAATGTTTGTTTTTCAACTGAGATCAATTAAATTCCATCCCAATTACAATCTTGGAAACCTTGACCGAAAGACCGGTGAGAAACAAAGAGCTCTTACTTTGCTCTCGGTTATCCAATGGAATAATTATCAGTGATTCTATCCAAAAGCAGTGTCTTCACATTTTATTGATTTTCTCAAAAACTATATGTTTGGAGAATGCAGCGAATATTCAGACATTGCTTTGGCTGTAATATAGTATAATAGAAAGAATGAATTCAAAAGATACAATTAAAAAGAATTAATATTGAAACTGTTTAGTTTCGTGTGTGAATATAATCTCTTATGTTCTATTTTTGTTTTACAGGCCGAAGATCTTATCGACGACTTATTGTCTCTGGAATCGAGCTCTTTAGCTTCGGATAGTTTGAAGACCTCGGACAACTCTCTGACCAGTGCTGAGATTAGTATTAAAAATGAACCATTTGCATTCACCGAGGCTGAACTGCACGCCCTCGCCAAAGATCGCCAAAAGAAAGACAACCACAATATGAGTAAGTATATTTTGTATAATGATTATTTATGTACAAAAATAAATAATAAATGTGTCTTTCAGTCGAACGTCGACGTAGATTCAATATAAATGACAGAATTAAGGAGTTAGGAACGCTGCTACCGAAGAACAACGACCCATATTTCGAAATAGTGAGAGACGTGAGACCCAATAAAGGTACGATTCTCAAATCATCAGTGGAATACATCAAGTGCCTGAAAAACGAAGTACAAAGACTTAAGCAGAACGAAATCAGGCAGAAGCAAACCGAACACATCAACAGGCGATTACAACTTCGAATACAGGTACTAGTTCTTTTGCTTGTGCTGTTCTAAGTTACTTATGTTACTCCATGTTCTTTTAGGAATTGGAACGACAAGCCAAATCTCATGGTTTGCCTGTGTCAGACTTCAGTTGGCAGCAGAGCTCAGCTAGTAGTTCACTGTACAATACGTATTCGAAAAGTCAAAATCAACAACCCACTGCCTCGGTGATGCCATCACTGCTACTTCCGGACCCAGATCCGATCAGACGAGTTAGTTGAAATGGAAGTAAACTGTGAAGATTCTTATTAATCTTAGATGAAATTTCAGATGCCTGATGTCATCACGGACGCCACGCTGAGTTTATCAGCTATGGAAGAGCTCATGGATGACGATGAGCCTGTGAATGGTGATCCTATGTTGTCCTCCCCACATGCCCTCCACACCGATCACTTGTTGGCTTCACCATCCCATCAAGTTAACGTAGATTCTTTACTTTGCGAACCGAGACTACCCACCCCGACCAGCCATATCGATCCAGTGGATGGAGACACCCTCGACATAGATATGATTGCATGATATGCGATTATCCAATTGTTTCGTTCTAAAACAATTGTTTCTATAGCAATATACCACCTTTCGTCCGCTTCATGTGGTTTTAACAAAAATAATTTAAGCAATAATCAGTACTAAAGTTACATATATTGTTCTTATATAATAATAATAATAATATCTCCTCCCAAAAGAAAAACATCTGGCGGCATTCCCCAGCTCTGGTCTTAGACGATTTTAGAATGTTAGTCATATTACGTTTCCTTTCTTTCATTTTATTATTACGTTATTATTATATTTTTTTTTAAAGAGTATTAGTGAAAAGCAAAATGTTATTTTTTTCAGGCGATGTTGTAACAGCATTTAGGTCTATTTTGTTATTCTGTAAACAATGCTACCCTTTCGCTCCCTTTACCTTTGTTTTGAACCTCAAATAGCTAGAAAGGGACTATGAATTTATCCGATCGCCCGGTGTGGCGGGCATGTCCAAAGTTACAAAGTTTTATTTTAATTGTTATAAATTTAGTCATAGCTTACTACAAAACAAGTTTAATACCATTTAATTGATAATGTTTAGTACAAGTAGCTCAAATCGGTGAGTGCTGATTAACGTCCCAAATTGGGGCCCAACTGTGTTACAAAATATTTCAGTTATATATATATATATATTTATATAATATATGAACGTTTCGTATATAAATCTCTGTGTCTGAAGTGGATATAATCCTTTCAGACCATATTTCAAATATTCTATTTAAGAGATATAAAAGTGTTATTTTTTCCTCTTATTATTATTTGTAAAGTTTATTTAAAAAAGAAAAATTGAACAAAACTTATTTCGTTTCATTACTTCTACATTACAGATCTACCAAAATACATTAAATTATTTTTCATAAATAATCATCTGCAGTAATTGATGTAAAAAAGCAGTGTTTTTACATTTCATTGATTTACTTGAAAACTATAATAGATAGATTGAATCCAAAAGATGCATATGAA